GAGCAAAATGACATTTTAACAATTGCAATAGTCGTCATAGTGATGGTGTTGTCACACAAACACTGGAAACCGCATCACATATCCACAATAATAAAGACTACACAGAAAATAACTTTCAAATTTCAAATTTCCAATTGATCTTAAACATTTATAGTTCAAATTAAGTCCCTAAAGAAAACAGTACTGTAGCTTGCTCTTAACATTTTTCCCAAAAAGGCATTAGCTGTATTTACAAAAATGTATTTTAATGTAATTTACAGTGTCTCTTCAGAACCGCTGGCTAGCATAACTTAACCATGAATTTACCAAAATTTGTAGCACACACCTTCTGAAATCTAATATCTGAGTTGTATGGTTGGTACAGTAGCTCTTTCTGAAACTTTATGATGATGCTTAAATACAAATATGTGTATATTCCAGTCTATTTGAGCACTAGGTAGAAATGACCTAACAAGGGCAATATTGCAATTTGGGGCATACATTCTTTAAGATGCTTGATTCAGGAGGAAATGAAGTGGAATGAAGTATCTCTATCTAAAGATCCTGGACATAGTGAGAGACTATTGTAGCTGAGGTGACTAAGGAGTCTTATTTCTAGGCCAGATTCACATTAGTGGCATTTATCATTGAGAGGAAAGATGGTATAATTAGCTTGTCTGTCTACTTTAGGCTGAGCTAGCGCTCTCTGTGAAGAAGAATGGACCACGGGCCCAAGGAGCTGACAGCAAGTCGATAATGTGGCAATTAATGTTATAAATAATTCTAAAGCCAATTATATTAAAATGGACCTCATACTCTAAAACAGCACTTTATTTCCTATCATTTCATGAAGTGTTCTGTATCAAATAGCAGGAGCAGAGTTCTTCTTTATTTCGACATATGGCCAACATATGGCAAAGCCATAATGTGAAGCATAAAAATCAGAAGGGCCATGCAAGAGATTTATTTGTTGATTCGTTTGCCTTTGACTTATCAGTGTCGTCCTCATTGCTGAAGCATCGCCCACGGTAAAAGGCAAATACAAAGTGTAAAACCAGTTTTAATCAGAATGATACTGCCTTCATGTTGCTGGCAGTATAAAATGGGCTCAGCTTATAAAGAATGTGAGTAATTTAATGGCTGTAGTGGTTAAATATATCAAATGCTCCTTCTGGCCTTGGGAGGGTCAAGCCCAGTGTGATATATAGAGAAGACTGTGATGGCTGAAGGTCGTGCTTCTTCTGCATAATGCATGAATCCTGTAACTCTCTCTGACTCCAATCTTCTGAACCTGAACCTTGAGATGAAAATTTTACTAAGTAAATCAGCAAGCTTGCTGGCATTTCTATTAACCTCCAGTGTGGAACTGACAGAAACATGAATCACAGTAAATAATATCGCGCAAATTGTAAATCATGTTTACAACTTGGGCTGAGTAGTGATGTTATGGGATTTGCCATCTGTTTGCTGTTTGTTATTGCTAATTTCTTTGCATGGAAGTAAAAGAGAAGGTGATTTAAATGGGCAAAAGTATAATTTAGCACAGTAAATATGGGAGAGTTTGATTGCTAATATGGAAACAAATGACATTTGCAACAAGCTCCTATTTTGCAAATCAAGCAACGTGCATGGAGTATGTGGAGATGCTGCCTACATCCCCGATGAAGGTCGGCATTGTGATTTAATAAATGCTTACAGCGTACAGGAGATCCATTCAGGTGCTTTACAAAGTGTTTTCCTCTAATGCACATTTCACTCTGGTACATGGGGATTTTGTGCAATATCTCAAACCAAAGAACAAAAATTGATTAATGCGTAATTTATTGACAAAATATCCACATGGTCTTTTCCTTTATCTTTCATTAAAGCTGTAATATTTATGTAGGATTTATTTTGCTTTTATTCAATGATATTTTCCACTTCAAACTTAAAAAATAGCCAAGAGCTTTGATTTATGCATGCATGGAGTGAAACAAAAGAAAGGAAATGTTGACCTTTAGAGGAAACATAAAGGGTCAGTGTTACAGCTGTGCCTTGCAGGCAAATAGCCTCCCAGTGCCGTTGATCTATCCTCGCAACAGGGATGAAATTCTTATCTTTTTGCCGCTTGTTTTCTGTTTTTGCTGGAGAAATGTGGAAAGGCATGTTGTTTTGTCTTTGTGTACAGGCCACATCAAAGCAGCTATATTAAAAAAAACGAGGAACAGATGAAGAAATGCCACCTGTAATGTTAACAGCAAAGGTTTTTTTTCTTTTTAATTTAAAGCCAATTCTGTGCAGAGAATCTTTACTTTGTTTCTGACTCTGCGCTTAAGTCTGCAAGCTCCCCTGCCCCCTTTCATTTCTGTATCAAAGGGTAAACTAATGCAAAATGTATATGTCCCTTGGCACAAAGGATGGTGGTGAGGCTCAGTACAGGAAGATCTGTGTGCTAAAAGCTTGAAACATCTGTGTAAACACATGGCTTTTTTCCAACCATGTAGACAATGTTCTCATAGCCTTAAGATAGATGTCCAAGGCAATATACCTTGCCCCGGGGCCATGCTGGAATGGCTTTGAACATCTGAAAAACCTTGAGCTTCAAGCAATATCCACTTTCAATGTTCCAGCTTGACAGCAAAGCATAGAAGTATTCAGACTGTGGCGTTTATTTGACTTTTTGTTGTTCCAAGCTTTGGTTCGATTGCGCCTTTGTATAGTGGAAATACATTGTAAAAGTATAGTCCTACAAATTTGAAAAGTTTTGCGGAACCACGATTGGTTTTCGCTAGATTATTTTTAAATTTTGAGGAGTGGAAGGTTTTGAAAGTCAGGAGCAAAGAGAACAAGAAAAGAGAGAACCTTCTGCCTTTGTTGTTCTTTAATTCTGTTAATAGCCCAAGGTAAAGATTTATCTGCTCTTGTCAATTTACCTCAGTCTCAATATAAAGCACCAAGGTCACTTTTTCCTTGCCTGGCCCACAGGATTAAATTGTCATGTCCCTCTAATAGGCAGCACAGGGAATCATTAGTCCAGCTCAGCTGCCTGACTGATAGGCATTTCAGTCCAATCATGGGAGTGTGCCGCCACAGGCCAGCCAGTATTGACACTGTGTCAGGACTGAGAGGGGACGCCTTAATCAGGCAGGACACTCTCAACATTGATTTGACAAGCTGCCGTAATGACCCCCTTGTTTTGGTAAAGGATCACTGTTTATCCGAGCTGGCATTGATGCACTTGGAGTGCTGCATTGTCATGGAAACTATTATCACCCGTACAGCTGGACAAGAGTTGTCCTCAGAGGCTACAGTGGATTTCTGTGTTGCTGAGTGTGTGTTTGTGAATAGGCTTATGCACTCACAGCATAGCAAAGTTTCAGTCAAGGTATTTCTTTAATGCGAATAGATTTACATCATATCTCTGCATCTCTGTGATCATTTGCTTTTTTGGTAGTTCATTTATTTTAATGGGATTTTTTTTTTTAACAGTAATAGTTTACACCTTCCAATAACAAGCACAATATGGTTCGATTCCACGAAGTTGCACAGGAAGGGCATCCAGTGTAAAAATCTGCCAAGGGAGCAGCCAAAAGTAGCTTTAACCTTACTGTCCCACAATCTCAAGATTTTTTTTTGTTAGGGCACCCCCTCTCTTAAACAGCTTCCCCCAGGAGGTCAGATTGGTGAGCTTCCTATCGCCGTCCTTTAAATCTGTCTTAAAGACATGTTTTTGTAAGCGGGCTTTCTCAGTGCCTCCAGCTGGAGCTACTTATACTATTTAAGACAACTGACCATTTTTTAAATTGACATTTACACAGAAACACAGTCACCAAAATTTCAGCTATACTGGTAGTGAGAATGTATTATTATTTTGGGTTTTTTCAAAATATTTGCCCTTTTAAAATAAAAAAAAGAAAAATATTTTAATAGTGCATATAAAAATGTAATATTTTACAGTACAATTGTGTTACTTTCCTCTCTCTGTCACAAACCTGACTATGTAACAACTATTCACTTTTTTGTGACACAAATCAGCAATGTCATGTGATTTAGGAGAGGCACAAAACTCAAAACTTAACTTTTAGTGTTTTAACCCCAAATTTAGCATTTATATATTTTTTAATCAATCAACATTATCTGTAAAGTATTTGATTCCAAGTAATGAAGTATCACATCTGTAATTATTAATGAGATTGGGATGGAGTAGTACTGACTCAGAATAGAGGAAAGCTGAAAGTTTTCTGGTTTCTGCTACAACATTAATGCTGTAGATGATCGTAGTTTAAAATCATGTAGATTTTCCTCCTAAAAATAGACACAACTGCCCGAACGTTTGCGAATTAAAACAGCATTAAATGAAATGATCGGGAATCACAGTGAAAGGTTAATATTTGGAAACTTTGATTATAAATGTCATGAGATCTGAGGCACTTTAGTAAGGGTGTAAAAAACCTAATATACAATATTTAGATTTTATAGCAGGTCAAATATCAGTTTTTGACCTTCTGTAAATTCTCAAGCTAGTCGGCTGTGCTGGGGGGACTTTTGTGCAATAATAGCTGATAATGTAAAAAGTGTCGGCTCATTTATAATTTGACACAGTAAATCACTGCTTTGTAAATAATACACATGTATAGTGGTCATAGACTGTTTTTAGTTCGATAGTTAGGCGTGTTTGTTTACTAAGAAGAGGTGACACTGCTGTTGGCAGGAGGATAAGGGAAATCAGCGGCCTCTCTGCGAGGTGTTAGACTGTAAATATTATTGGCATGCTGACAGTCTCCCACAGAGCCATGCTGTGTAAAAATCGTTAACAAGCACGATGATGGGCTCTGTCCATCCCTCAGGTGAGAATGTGGAGTGTGTTTTTACATCAGCCATTATCCAAGAGGGTACAACGAGGTGTTCTGTGTCACGTGATCCAAAATTGTGCAGCGTTATCAAAGAGTGTAATTTTTTTTCTCCTTTTTGGGGTGCGCGTGTGTGTGTAAAACATCGTTAACATCCTTTTAAGATCTGAGAAAATAAAGAGACAAGACATATTATAGAACACAATACATCTGCTTTTAATTTGTGAAAATACAAAATGAAATCATGTACAATTTATATACAAGGCTATTTGTACAAGACAATAAACAGTTTTTATTATTGTGTATGATGACATAGTCAGAAATATCAACTTAGCACTGGCATTGTCGATGTGCTAAAAAAAAAAAAAAGAAGCACAAAATAATACAGACTAGACTGCAATGTTGAATGTCTCTCAACCCCACAGGTACTGTCAAATGAGAAAACACTAGAAAAAAAAACTTCACATTAAGCTTTACACATTTACATACAACTGAATTGCTTTCAGGCGTTGCTCTTGATGATGGATGGATTTAGAAGAAAAAAAGTTTTAAGACTTCTCAGACTGTTTGCGACAGTCGTAGCTATCTCCAGTGAATTTTTAAGAATGCTAAACTAGAAGCCTCTTTTCGCAGCAGTGGGTCTTCCTAGAGTCCTCCATTGGCTTCAGCACTGCCTGGCACATTACTGGCACTGAGGGATGGACAGCTTGGGTTTCCTCTGTGCCAGTAAAAATGTCACAACCTCTCTCATTTTACATCCAACATGAATCCTAGGCTGGACTGTTATGTATCATATATGGATCGAGAAATTAACGGAGCAATATGTGCTTTTCTTTGCTCTTTTTTTTAAACCTTTCCTTCCCCCTCATTGATCCTAAAGTAAAGTGACAACAGTGCCAGTATAGCTGTGATTCATTATTAAAATAAGACATGATTAATAACACCACACACATTATTCTGTGCTTCCAAACAGAAACAAATGATTGGTGCTTTGGATATGCAAGATATGTAATCAGTCATTGAGGAGGTAAACAAAACAGAAAGTATTCCAAAAAAAACAAATAGCCAAAAATGCAGATTTTTTTTTTTATGATAGAGCTGTTCTTCATGCATCAACAAAAATCATGTCTGTTTATGGCATTAAGATTGGTCATGGAGAACATACAAGTTGCTTAATGGCCTCCAAGACAATCCTGTGTCAGGCAGTGCTTACAGCCAAAGGAGGACTTAAATGATGCCCACTTTATGCGATATGTGGCTTTTACATTCATCTTACCTACAAGTATATCATATATGGTCATAGCATTTGGCTTAGCTGTTTATAGTAACTTAAGTAAATGGATAAATGAACAAACTTTTGGATTTTTGGTTGTTTTATAATTTAACAACAAAAACAACAAAAAACAGCTCTATCATATTTGGCTATTAAAAACAAAAAGAAATTTTGCAGATGCAGATACTTGTTAACACTTCCGGGGTTTTGGACAACTTGAAATAGCAACGTGAAAACATTTATAACACCTGAAAAAAGGCAAAAAAAAAAATAAGACAAACATAAATGGATTCAGATAAGGCTGGACCCAAATGCCATTTACATATGGACACTGGCCGTCGTAACTGTCACAAATGTTGTGAATTAGCTCCAAATGGCAAAGGAATCACTGAGAGTCAGTCACTAACAATGCCATTGTGGTGGGGTTGCAGCTGGGTGTAAAATACACATTTTAAACATACTGTACAGACTAACTCTGCAACATTGGTTAACGTAAATGCAGAAGTAGTAGTAGTTGTTCATACACAGCTAAGAAGGCAACTTTTACAATTGCAAAACTTGATCCATTTATCCTAATAAACACCCTTTTTAGCAGTATTAGAAGTAGTTATTCTTTTTTTTTAACATTGCTTTTCTTGTTGACGTGACCATCATTCCCCAAAATAAAACAAAAAAGTCATGGAGTCTGGCCACTGCTAAAGGTTAGCTGTGCAAACTAATAGCTGAGTGACTGTGATATTTGACAACGATTGTCTTTAATGAAGATTACGTAAAATAAACTTGCTGCAGAGGTGACGAAAGCAGTACATGTTCGCCTTATACGATGAAAAAAATGATGATTTGCGTTTGCAGATGAGGCGATATCTCAGATTCCGGACAGTCTTCTAGGAGTCCAATAACCAGCACGCGTCCAGAACTCGGCGCTTGTGCTCTGCTTCTCTGATGGGTGGAATCAAGCTGCTTGCGGATGTACAGTATATCGACTGATGTGATTGACGGCGAGAGTATTCACAGGCTTGAGCTTTATGGTCCTCTGGTGGGTATTCTGTTGCTCATCTGTAAACCATGTCTTTTCTGAGAAAGAGTCAAAATCATAAAAAGACAAGAAGGGAGGACATCAGACAGTTAATGCTACATGGAGGTCAAATATTTTGCATTAATATGATGTATTTTTACATGCACTAATAACATTTTAAAATATGTTTTGCCTAAATTGTTGCTTTACGAAGGTATTTTAAGCTCCACGGTGAGTTTTTAGTGGTGGGAAAATATCACTCATTATGTTTTTACCTCCCTCTCTAATATTTCAATCACGCTAGTGTAAAAATAGGACAGCAACCTCCTTCTGATTAGGAGAAATTAGCATTTGCCCAGTGATTGGATTTAATTTTTTTGCTGTCAGGGGTCTATTACAAGTAATCATGGTCGCCAACTGGTTGCCCAGCGACTGAGCTTGCAACACCCTCCACCTCTGGATTGAGGGTGTTGCACGCAATGGCACTGCACAGATCGCCTGGTGGGAGGCAAACTGTCTTCTAATAACTGTAATCACTCTCACACAGATTGGTGAATATTTGCAAGTAACTGTTGCCCTATTTATTAATCTAGAAAGCAAGGTTGCCTAGTGTCTGTGCAATTTTGCACTTTAATCTCCATCCCATAGCAACTATTTGTGGAATTTCTGCTTTAGGTTAGAATTTAAGATGTTTCTGTGCATGTAGACAAGAGTAGCAAAAGATTTGTGATTTTCACTAATTTATCCCACATAATTGCCATTCAACTGCAAACTGAGAGCAGACTCTTGGTGCAGTTTGATTGCTATCTTGACACACTAATTTCATTTTAAAGAGGACAAGTGACGGCGAGTGGTCGGAGGCAACAGATCTCAGGTTCATCGAGCACATTTGCAATAATTTAGATTGTGTTGCTGTCTCTACTTTTGTCTCCTAGTGTGATTGTAGCATAATGCCATTCATCTTATGGCCATTTTTAAAAAATATACTGCCATGAAGCATGCAGCTTTGTTGAGTCTAAAGACATGCAAGTTCCAGTGAAGCAAAATCTCTTTACCAAATTACAAGTTAATGCAGGACTTCCACCTTCATAATTATTATATGTATACGTATATTTTCTAACCTTTTATTTATAAAAGACTTCAAACTTTTGGCTTGATGCAACTTTTTTGGTTAAGAAGGAAATAGATAACCTGACATTCTACAATGTGATTCCTCTGCTTGGCAAAGTCCATGGTCATGACCTAAGGCTGTTATACTGTGGTGCATTAATACATGTGCCAGCAGAAACATGGTGCCAGTAACAAAACATTAAACAACAGTAAAATGTAGCATCAAACCATTCAGTTGCAGTCACACATTCTACAGTCAAACCCGCTGTGAACTGTGCTGCTTAGGTCACAACCATGCTCTCCTGAAGCAGTCATTTGGAAATGCTAAACTCCTTGGCTTTCATTCAGAGGGCAACATGTCAGCAGGGACATGACCGTGTTCAGTGCAAGTATGTAATATCATGCATATTCATTCACTTCCATACCTTGGCCAACTCTACTTATCCTTGTTGCACTTTGAAAAGAGAAAGTAGTACACTACGTGTAAGCTAAGTGGGAAAATACTAATGTGACCATTAATAACAGAAAAGGCAGAGCAGGAAGATCGGAGGCATAAAACCAGCAGATGATCTCATTGCGTATGGATTTGGAGTAGGTTAAACAGTAGGTTGCCACTAATCACAAAAAAAGATAATGGAAAACAACATAGGTCATGTAAAAATATCTTTAAGTGCCATTATTATGCATCCAGCACAATAATGTATGTCAGACAGCCATAATCTTCCCATGCCTATTGTTAAAGCAGTTTTCAAAAATTATCTCCAAGTTTCAGATGGAAATACCAGCATGCAGCTGCACGTCAGATGTTTTTAAATCAAACGAATACACTGGTGTGTTAAATGGATCTCTGTAAAAAAGTGCAATGCATCATATTAACTGAGCATGAGCAGTATTGTTAACCATAAAAAGCCTGTAGTGTTCATTCAGCAGCTGTGACACATGAGCATTCCCTTTGAATGAATGTGAAAATATTATGATATTGCTATTATTTGTAGAATGCATACCTCTGTCAATTCTGCAAAGTCCCTTCACTGTGTTAATAACAGTAAAATACTGAGATACCTGTAATCAATATATACTCAGAGACAGACAATTATAGTAAACCAAACAATCTTAGACCCCATCCATACCGGGAATATATTCAATAAATATAACCGGCCCCATGAACCGAACCCATGAACTTAAGGTTCATCAGGACTCTTGGGGACAGGCCTGATTAACAACATTTAGTAATTAATGCAAATACAAATACTGCACATGGCACAAACAAGCTTTTGTGATTCAAACAAGTCTGTACTTTATGGTCCAACATACATTAGTAAAGACATAAAATGAGTTATTCGGAAGCACAGAGGCATACTTATAGACAGTATAAAAGATGGATGTCGGTCCTGAGCCTGACAAGTGGAGCCGATACAGAAGTGTCCTAATGTTCTTTGCCCAGCAGGGAATTATTTCCCTGGTTCCAAATAAGACTTCCTGTTGTATAGATGTACATGGTAAAATAGCTCTAAGCTTCATTAGTCTGTGAACTCAGTAAATATGCAACTGGTGACTTTAATCAATAGTTTCAGATAATATGGTTTATTTGGGAAATTATGGCTGTTATTCGACTCATAAAGGAGGATTTACAGGGAATGCTCATTATCTAAAGACTTGTGATGGCAAATGCGATGAAGTGTCTTCGGTTTCCATCCTCTCTGGTTTCAAAACCCCAAGAAATCAACAACCTTTTATATATCCATCTTACAGTCTTTAATTAGATGATTCACCTGATTCATTATGCCAACTTGCAGGCACTCTATAACAAACACCTGCCAGACACCACAGTGTAATTATAATAGGGTATATTGCACTAAAAGTACAGGTTAAGTGTACTTAACAAAGGCATTATTTCATTATGGGACCTGGTAGGCTTGCACTACATTGGTACAGCCTATAGAGAACAACCATAGTGTACAGATAAGTCCTGAAACTCTAAGTGTAGCTTAGAGGCTCTGTCTTCTTGTACAGTGTAATGCTTTACAGATGTTATGTTTCTATATTGCAAATTGCAAGTTGAAAGCTTATGGATAGGAAATGGATTCTTTACCTTTTTAGAGTTATCGAGAGAAAGAAAAGCCAAATACATTTGAGGACACTGCTTTTGTTAAAAATGGGCTGGGGCCAACTGTGAAGAATTATTTACACAATCTAAACTTACTGCCATATTTAAACACTGGGTTGTAGGTATACGTGGTACCATTATAAAAGATTGATGACTGATCAAAGTGGTATCATCCAGTCAGCTGCTTGTGTCTTGAATACACTATGGTTGAAGCTGTCAGCTTATCAATCACTTGAAAAAAGTGTATGTGGTCGGGGACTTGGTAAGCCCGAACATGATGTTGAATTGGGAAAGTCTAGCCAAAGTAATAAAATCTGGAAGTACGAAATCTACTTTGAATAACTATCCCTGCTTCTAGCTAAGAGTTAGATAGGATGCCATGTACATTTCCACAGCAGAAACACCTCCCTATAGCGATTCACACCAACTATAGTGTCATCTGTGGAGACCACAGGTGTAGTAAGGCTTCAAACTGAAGTAAGACCTAAATTGTGAAATCAAGACAAAGGCAATAAGAAGATATAAGGATTCCAGCGCCTTTGGTTGCAGGTCGAATACTCTGTAGAGAAAAAAATGCTAGCTATTGCTGCCGTATGCTAACAGTGTAGTACTCACTGCTTTATTGAACTTTGACTTTAAGCAGTCACGGGCCCAATTTGTAGCGGTGCATAGAAATTCTGATTCAGTTTACCAGTCTAATTACTGGTAATAAAAGTGGTAATCATAATACATGAAAATGTCTCTTCACAAAGTTTAACAATTGTAGAATAAAACTGAAATGTGACATTCAAATTGTGCGGGTCAAACTTTATTAACAACCGTAACATTTTATGCTTGCAAATTGTCTTGACATAACTAATAGTTCAGGGTGGCAAGTAACATTTAACTAAAAGCGCACCTTTCTAACGCAAATCAAAAGGCACTGAGAGGACACGATGTGCAAGAATTCATTGACATGACATGAGACATTAAGACATGAGACATTAAGACATGTAATTTTAAAAGTGCAGTTTAGTACAATATGTTTCAGCTTTAATTCGAAATTAAACAAAACTTGGAATGCTACAAGTGGAAAGAGACGGTGGCCATAATCACAGAGGTGCCGGATATTAGCAAAACAAAAAGGAAAGATGGAGGTTGTACAATGTTTGTCACTTACTACCCTGAGGGTAATTACTTTGTCATGTTCTATGATGTGTTTGCCAGTGTCACATATATAATAATATCCTTTTCTTCCACATTAGATGGAGGTTGAGAGGGGTCTGTGTGTATAGGTAAGGCTTTCGTAGTTAATTAAAAGTTGGTAAGCGGTTAACTGGACAGAATTAGTTGTAGAAACCCTGATCTATATTTGCACTTGACTCAAAGTGTACTAGTCAGGATGTTACTACTGTTCTTGGCTTTCAAATGCACAAGAATGTGGGGAAAAAACAGCTAATGGATGGAATGAAACTCAGAAATAAAATGCTCAGTCCAGGGGAGTTCCAGTTATTCTTTGACCTGCAATATTAGCCAATCCTGCTAAAGAGGAAAAACAATCTGTACTAAAATGCTTTGTTAAACACAAAAGTGGCACATACATACACAGTCAGACGGACATACATACTTTGACACTCAGACGTGTGAAAGTCTGTCTGGACAAACAAGACAAACGCTGTCGGCAGGCACCGGTCACGGACATAGACAGTCACAGAGCTTTAGAGGGGCACATACTTTTGTTTGTCTCGCGAGTCCCTGCTTTTGGCTCGGTTGGTGCGGTTGGTGGTGGGGATAGAGTGGACGGAGGAACTCTTTTTGCTTGAAGAATGGGATGAATGGGAAGAATGGGAGAGGCTGGTTCGAGACTGGCCAGCGTTGTGGTCAAACTGCATCAGGCAGAATATCAGGTCTGAGGGCACCAGCTCAAATGCATACGGTGGATTGGTTATGACATATCTAGAGGAAAAAGGGACCAGATGTGAGGCCAGTTATAAATAAAGTAATACATGAATCTATTATTATTTGGATTTCAGTTAAATGCAAGAACACATACCGTTTGGTACACTGGCTTTGTGTGTTTAGATGTGCGTCTCGTAGCCGATAGATGCCAAAACACAACATGTTATAAGTTTTTAGGGCTTTACAAAACAGGTCACCATAACAACCACCATCCTGTAAGAGAGCAACACAAAACTGATGAGTACACAATTTGTATTTTGTAAAACCAACACTAAAAATACATATTAACGTCATAGAAAAATAGAATCTGTGTTACACAACGTAGTCTTTTCTTTTCCCTTGCATGCTCTTTGTTTTGTTTACTGTTGTCTGTTAAATGAAGGACAAAACTGTCTTCTGACCACACTCAAATAAAATCACCAAATAGATCTCTAGCATCAAAAGTGATAGCATTATGTCTTTATCTGATACAGCTGGATAATAAAGCAGAAAGTTGTGGAAATTAAGCAGATAACTCTACAAACTCGACAAGAAACACAAGCATTCAACAACAACATTTTACAGCACACAGTTAACTCATTCCAGTTGAAGTGGAACTGCCACAATTAGAGGATTCAGTCACCAGGGTAAAGCAATGATGGATTTCATGGAATATTAGGGAATATTAAGAGAGCCATAGCACAAAATAAAAGAAGCCTCCTAGGCTCATTAGCTTTGTTCTGCCATTTATAGTATTGTATAGGAGTCTTGAGCCACCCCTCCTTTGTTTATATTTAGCTTCCTAGGAGTCAGGCTAAATTTTAAGTTGTCTTCGGAAATAGCTTTCCAAGCTTTCTGAAGGCTTTTAGTTTTTCTTTGGACATTGGCTGCTTTCAGTCATTTTCAGTTCAGTTCTTGTACCTGACCACTGTCAGAGGATTTTTTTTTAAATCATATGAATCATTCAAGCATAAATAAAGGGACCTAACAGACGGGATGAGTTAGGAAAACAAAAAAAGAAGATTTTAAATTAAAATTTTAGTCACTTCATTACTAGCCACCTGTCACAAAACCCATCATTTGTTCCCATGTCTTTAGTTGATTTGGGTTTATGAAAAATACCAGCAAACATAGTATTTTTGGACCAACAAATGTAAATTCCCAAAATATATTAGCTTGAAACTTAGTATATCTCATGGTGTGTAGTGCGTCCTTAAAAAATTTGAGGAAACTGAACAAGTAGAGGACAAAAGAAAAAGTGGCAGGCTTTAAAATCTATCTACAGCAGATGACCAGTGCGTGAAAGCTGTGTCCTTAAGAAATAGGAAACATCCAGAAAAGACCTGAAACACAACCTGAGAAATGCATCTGGCTCTTCGGTTGATCCATCTACGTAAGTGCTAACAATCAGTCAATATGCTATTAAAACTAACATCTTAAATAAATGCCAAAATTATTTGATGCTCATTCTATAGATGAATATAACTTTATTTTCTATTCATTATACAATTTCAGCTATGTCACAATCACTCAACACAGTTTTACATCCCCATCCCATCCCTATTACTCTGCATCCTTCAGTAACAGCAGCTCCCACAAAGCAAGCTGACAAAAATGTCCTTAGCCCCCAGGTGACAAGACCAATCACTTACCCCGAGGTCGGCAAAGGGCCCATCGTACAAGGCCAGCTGTGCCACGCGACACCTGTCCCTGTTTGCCAGGGTCTGTGGTGTGCTGTAGCCACCTCTTAATGCATTCTCCTCTGCCAGCAGCCCCTCCAGCTCCGGTGTCGCCCCGCCCGTTACCAGCGTCCGGATCAAGGTGAGGATATTATCATTGAAGTATGTCTGAAGGAATGAAGTTAGAGGGGGGTGAGTCCTTAAGCAAACACTCCCAAAGTCACAACTGAACCTTCTCAGCGTGCCAGGCAGATTGAATGGTGCTATCTAACCCTGCTCTGTCGCATCACATTGGCCTGAACATGGAGTGAAAAGACAGGAGAATCCAGTTACTGCAGGTCACACCTACTTCCATCAGAGCAGCGAGTCCATGTTCACACTTGTCCAAGGATTTATTACTTAGCTTTATATAAGAAAGAAAAAAGTCCGCTTTATAAACCACACACTAAACCTGAAGATATACTCCTCTCTGTAATTGTTATCTTTCTAATCCCTCCTCAGTTATTGCTTTGCTGATTTTAACAAGGGCAAATGTCTCCCCTTTTCTTTTCACTGCAGTCGCTTGTCTCCCCCTGCTTGTACAGCATGGTGACATCTCCCTTGGCTGCTGACAGCACTATTGACTCAGATGATGGATGAGGGCTGTCCATTAGGTAGCATTACCTTTGTCTACACTGGAGCACACTTGAAGGCAGCTTTGTTCTAACCTCACTCAAACTGAAAGGCAGACAAATGAAGCCATCATGCCTTGTACAAGTTCCAGTCTTGTCATTCATTCTTTTAACAGAGGACCAGAATGTGCCTACTTTATTATTTTTATTATTTTTTTAGATTTAGTCGTAAAGCTCGGCCAATATAGGATTTTTAAAACCGATACAATACTGATACCGATATTTGGCAGTAAAAAATTCAGTATATTAGCGGTTATTCTTTTTCTTTTAGACACACAACACAAAAAAACATTTGTTATGTGTCATTATTAAGGGTTATATTTTTTATTTCATCTCATCCAAGAGGGTTCTTCAGTTCCATAACCAAAAGGTTTGAGGAGTCCCAGGTATTTAAACCCTAGTGGGAGTTTCCCCTTTGGAGATGAACACATGTGTATCATCACATGAGCTTAGCCGAGCCCTATTAGGGTTTAAATACCTGGGATTATCCACGTTTTGCTTCTTGGACTGAAGTGAAACAAACAAGAGCCCAATCTTCTTCTTTTCAAGCTCTTAAGACGGCTGATACAGATTTATCAGTAACCAGCTAATATCAGTCGATATTGCGACTATTTAGTTGACCTATTTTGCAATTGACAGATGTTATTAGAAATTCGATATTTTTGACTTACCGCACTCATTAAGGAATCCAGCACACTGACTGCAAATGCTGTCCCACAGGCAAAAGGCTGTGTGAGGTACAACTCTGTGTCTGGGTCGTCGTCATCATCTTGATCCAGGAACTGAACATTCGAGTCATTCACTATGGGGTAAACATGTTCATTTTATTAGCTATTTCAGTTCAGCTTGTTTTTTGTTGGGTTTTTTTTTTACTGCACACTGAGTCCAACATGGCAAATGCTTGATTCACGTGAAGAGGAGGACACAACAATACAGCGGTTGTGCACAACAGTCAGTAGCAGCAGATATGGACTGTATTAGAAATTGGTGAATAGTTTCGCATATTCTCCTCATTTGCTTAGTTCCAAATTTGGACCACATTTTAGTTTCTTTAAAAGAACTGAAATGACATGTGTCTGGTGTTTGTATCCAGCCTTGTGGCCAACTTGCCTCTGCCACATTCCATATCCAGGCCATTCATGCACACTCATGACACCATGCATATTGTCAAAGTTCCAGGCCTTAACTTAAAGTCCTCCTGAGGTCACTATCAGTAACACCATTATGCCATTGTTTGTCTTGTAAATCCAAGACAGAACTTCCAATTACTTGTACTTGCATGTCAAGTCAAATGAAAGTATTCCATTGCCCCAGAACCTTCTTTAAAGATGTCTTTGAGCACAAAAACACATGCAGTAGCTGGAAGAAAGTAATGATGTAAAATTTAGTTGGAGAACTGCTTCTTCTGTGAGGACAGAAATAAATGTCAGTCATATCGACAGGGCTGAGATGAAAGAAGGGCACGGGCCAGAGAATGTGATCCGACAGAAGATGCTATGAAAACAGCCACAAGGACTTCTGAGGGATCAAAGACCCTGTAATTCTTAGAAAAATAAAAGGGAGAAATTTTGCTTTGAGATAGGGAGCCAAAACAAGACAGGCAATTTCAACCAGAACCAAGGGTAAAATGTGCTCAAAGTGATGCCATGGGAATGGACTGAGCCTCTTGTGCAGCACGAGAAATCAAAAGAAAGCTGATATGGAGGCAGCAGCAGTTACGACACTGCAGTACAGGACAGAGGCACTTCTTCTTACCCAGCTCAGTTATCATTTGTATGCTGGTCCCACTGCTTTTATCCTGACTGAATGAAATCACAGGCAGTTTTTTGCCTGGCTTTGCTAATGGCGCTAGACAAGTGTTAAGGAAAAACAGTTACTGGTACATGTCAACAAGGGACAAAACAAAAGCATAAACAAATTCCACTTTTAGTACAGTTAATCAAGTGATGACAGCCTCTAATTGCATAATTTGTGTTTTCTGAGATTTGTTTACAACTACTACACTGAAAAGGACATAAAACAGCAGAGCTAGCATATCAATCAACACGTAGCAGCAAACCATACCTAGTTCTGTTATGATGGGGATATTTGCTCCAGTGGTGACAGAGGTCTGCCTCACCAGTCCATGGACTGGACTGTTCTCAGGAGATGATCTATCCATTCCTGGTGGTGTGAAGCCTAAATGGACATACATGTCACACAAAGCACATCAGTTATTACTAGGTTCAGTGCTTGATTTTAGAGGTTACGATAATGCACATCAGCAGAACTAATATGTCGGGGTTATTTCATCTATTTGCAGCCGCGAGTAAGGTGTAAAGTGCAGTGTTACCATATTCTTGACAACGACCAGTATTGATTTATATATAATAGATGTGACAAACAGCTCATTTTATTTCCCTTTGATTGTGTGTGCATGGAGACAAACATTTTACAAACATATGCAAAAAAAAAGCATGTACAATATGGAGTCATGAAATAGAAAATCAGTGACGCAAGATTGAATCCAAATTGACTTGACATTTCTTGCTTTCCTCAGACTGACAAGTAAGCACATTAAATCAGTGATGCTGCATGTATAATACATAGGGTATGTTGTGATATCCATCACTTACTGCTGACTAAGCAGCACCATGCGAGGTCATACATGTATTAGAGGAATAATGAAATCGTTGGAGACCCTACCACCACCACACCCTCCACCCGTCGCGAGGCCAAAAGGTTTCTAAAAGGATTTCTCTCAGTGCCAAATAATGGCCCCTTACTGAAGACCATCTGAAGCTAACTGAGTGCTTCAAGTGTCATTTAGAAAGCTATAACATGCAATTTTAATACATTGCACACATTCGTTTTATGAAAGTAGTCTCAGATATTGAAAAATAACAATGTGCAAGCCAGGCAAATCTCTTGTGCCAGAGCTGTGCTTGTTGCCACCAATTAAGTTTGTGAAGAAACCAGTTGTTACAGTAACCTGAGGAATAGTCAGCTGGGTTTACTGTCAAACACAGTGACACCAGGTCAGCCAAGCAGCACCCACTGAGGAATATTCTCTGTGCCAGGGCCCTGTCCCTTCCAGGCAGTGCAGTGAACTATGATAGGGCGCTCCTTACCTTGAGAATTAGCCTGCAAGACCCCGATGCTGTCATCAAACTGCATAGATTTGATGTTGAGTGACGCCAAGATGCATTCTTTGTCCTGCAGTGATGCATCGTCAATATTGTTCTGATTGGCTGACAGAATGACACACATGTCGCAGAGGTTGATGTTGACAGCCCTCAGATCTGCCCTACTCAACGGTGTGCCCTTTGAGAACCAGTGAAGGAGAGAATTTGTTATCTCACCTATAAGGTACAAGAAATAAATCAAAATTTTGAACGGCAGGCAAACTCGAAACTTATGTCGGCCTCGTGTGCATGCTCCAAATTATACTACGCGCTGCTAGCGAGTCCTGACAAATGCTGCTACTGCTAATTATGTCTTTCACAAAGTCCTTTAATGGTGGAAGAAAATAAATTGTGGATGCTCATATTAAACATGAACAAAGTTTCAAATAATGAGGTCAGTGAATGTGCAAGTAATCACTGTAAGCTCGAGCTTAAGACTTTTCAGGCCAGATTTACTAAATGGGACAAAAAAGCTTGTGAGCGAAATCCTCATAGTGCTCATGGGTGTGGTTAGTTTAATGGTTGTGCCTATAAACACAAGCACAGTCAGTTCATAT